TGTCCGATATCGAAAGCGAGTTCATGTGTGTTATTAAAGCATGTTTTATAATCTTTAAGGTAACTATAAGTTTAGAAGTTATTATGCTGTTAAAAAAGCAATGTGTGTTGATTGTTTCACTTTTCAGCATTACTTACATAATTTAATCCGATAAATTAAAATAACGTCCACCCTGATGTACATATATAGGCACCACCTGTACATACATATGTACTAATACCAATCTTAGCCGACTAGAGACTCCAACAAATAAATATGTTAAAATATCTGCTTGCGTCGCAGAAGCGTATTAGACTCAAGATCACATAGAAATGGTTTATTCATAACTTACAATTGAAAAACATAAATATGCATACATACAAACACATGTATGTATGTGTGTAAATAACTTTGTAAACAACAATCTCCTGGTTTCTGTCCTGATCGCTGCTTAATAGAATTGCAAAGCTATCGGTGGTGCTATCGATGATATCGATAATTTTAATTTTCCAATACTATTGATGGTTTAAAGAAACTATCGGTAGTTAATTTACATAGTTAATTTCGTTATTATTCTTTCTCTGCAACATTGGAAACGCAAAAAATTGTGCGCCATTTTGGGCATTTTTCTATGCACCGTGAGAGGGCTTTGCAACACTTCGGGAATACACCTATGGTTTTTGTCGTAGGAAAACAAGGTGTTGTAAAAAAACTAAAATACGAACGATTCTGTGAGTGTTTGTTAGGGGCGGGGTAATAGCACGGGGTACATTTGTCTACGGAAAATTTTAAGAAAATTTTATTTTAATTTACTATTTAGTTGTGTAAACCAAGACACTACTGTATCGATTTTGGGGTTTTATTTTCGTGGGTTGGATAAAATAATGTTTCAGATATCGAAATACGTCCAAGACATATCCCGACCTTTTGCACCTGTTTGTATGATCAGTGGTAAAGTGTTAGTTGACGCAGTGCTCTGAAAAATAAACATTTAATGTTAAAGTTAAAAGAACTCCAAAAGCCATAGGGGCGATTGATTTTAATTTGAGTTTTTTCTAAAGGTTAGTTCGTCAGTTCTTCTTCTTCTTATTAGGCGCTTTAACCGCCTAAGCGATTTTGGCTGAGTTCAACCAAGCACGCTAGTCGTTTCTCTTCTGTGCCAACTGACGCTAATTGAAAATGCCAAGTAAAGTCAAGTCCTTCTCCACTTCCTCTTCCTCTGCTATCACCAGCGGGTTTCGAGTTGAATACTTTCAGAACTGGAGCGTCGGAGTCCATTCGAACGATATGGCCAAGCCAGCGGAGCCGCTGCACTATGTCGTTGTAAAGCTCATACAGCTCATCGTTCCATAGTCTGCTGTACTCGCCATCGCCAACGCATAAACTCCCAAGTCCATGCTTCGGCGCCATATACCAGCACGGGCATGATGAGTCACTTGAGTGTGGTTTTTGTACGTCGAGAGAGGACTTTACTCCTAAATTACCAACTCCGTCCATAGTAGCGCTTGTTGGCAATAGTAATTCCGCGTTGGATTTCCATGCTGACATTATTATCGGCATTAATGCTGGTTAAACGAAATTCCTTACTTTCTCGAAATGTGTATAGCATTAAAAAATTGGAATAATAAAAAAAGCTGGTAATCAGGAACTTTCCGGTAAATGGTATCTATGACGCGTGCCAACGAAAATGTGGTTTTGTTTACGTTTGTAGTACTACAAGTGCTATATTTGTTTGACTTGTTGTGCCCACGGAAAAATTCTTTAACTAATAAGTACATATTTGTATGAGCAACCTGAGCCCTTGCGGAAGGGAATGATATACTCGGGTGCAAATACGCACAGGTGTTTAGTACAATGATAAATACGGAGCCAAAACTTTATAGGTACATAATTAAATAAATAAAAAAAAAGTTAGATGATGTTTTTACGGGTTTCCCACAAAAATATTTACTTAACACGTAAAGGCTTCTAGTAATAAGAATACAAATCTTATTAAAATTAATAAGACATTTTTTAACGTTTATCTGCTTACTTAACGAAGTTAATAAAAAAACAATCGATGATGTGGATTTCATGAATCAAATCCGAAACATACAACATGGTTACACGCCGCACTAAACATTAGTATATGGCGGCCAGCGATGCCAGTTGGCGGGATTTCACCCATTTTAGGGGAAAATATATTTGGAATACAAAAAGGGTAAAAATGGATTGAAATGCGGTGATTATCTAGTTTCATCCTCTTCCTAAGTTCGTAAAACTTATTCTGAATTACAGCATTAAGAAAGCTCAATCAATGATTGACTAACATAAAGACAAAATAGCTGATGAATTAGGTTTTGTAGCTGAATAGTTTTAGATGTCGACACTAAACAAACTACTGCTTTTCGTGACTTGTCGCAAAAATTTAGGAAAAAAGTTCTATATATCTTGCGGATGTCAAGCTTACTAAAGTAGGGTATATACGGCTCAACTATAATTTATGAGTTTGAGCAAAAACCTAAATATTTGAAATGATCGAATATACCATGAAAACAGGCTTCTTATAGTCCCTTAACCTTTCTTTTGATTACCAGACAAAAAAAAACGTTATCTTCGCGTTTGATGCACGTATCTATTAAAATATTAATTATATTTCATCAAAATATGTTTTGAAAAGAGGATTTATACATATACACTTTCTTAAATGATGCATAAAGTTTTATTGTTAGTCTTGGATTGTTTTAATGGGTAAATTTAAAAAAAAAAAATATTTTATTTTCTCCATTTCTTCAACTTTGACCCATTTTTAGAAATCGCAAATTGACATGGATTTCAATTTTACATTCAGTAACACTAGACAAACGAATGAAAAATAGTCTAAACTAGTCAAGATGTCTTGTCCCTATTTTTACATATTTTTATAACATTTCTCCACGAACACAGTATGTTTCAAAATTTAGGCAGCAAAAAAGTATAAATGCAGCATTGTGCAAAAAAGCGCAGTAGATATCTATTTTTGGAATCCAAAAAAAAATTATTATACTGCCGAAAAAAGTATAGATACGAGCATTAGGTACACCGTATACCCATTGCTCTAGGCCTTCTTAAACACCATCTTGGAAGTTTTGAAAACGGACAAAAACTAGGTACTTTTCCGATGTAACGGTAATATTCGAAACCCCAAATAAGCGATAATATAGAGGGCACGGTTTTTGTACGATTTCAAAAATTTGTAACAAATTTTGTATGAAACCTCAATTTTCTGAGTAAATTTTATAGTAGAAGATCCGAAAAGGCACCACCTTCACCCATCTGTTTAATGGATGAAATCTATTTTGTATAAAATTTAACGAGTTAGTAAATATTTCGCGAGTGGGTTGGTTGAAAAATTCATGGGTAGGATATTTTTAATTAAATTTTCACAAAAATATTATATATTTTTTTTTAATTTTGCACTCGCTGTTAAAATTTTTTTTTAATCTTTCTACCAAATTTATCTAATTTTACTGGGCTAATCGCTATATTTATCGCGTCCCCGGCCGTGATCTAAACGTCGTGCAAAAAAAAATGTAGGTATAAAAGTGGTGAAGAATGAAATTATCTACAACTTTGGAATTTCAGACATTGTCAAAAAATGGCGAAAATAGTGACAATGTAAAATCTTTTCGCAGTTTTTGCAAATTTTTTTTTCAATAAAATATGCTATTTTTAAAAAACTTGCTCTATAACAAATGTGGGAAATTAAATTCTCTACATATTTGTGTTAAACCATTTTTTACGAAAAGAGCAAAATAAGCTTGCAAATCGCAAAAAATCGCAAAAAAATTAAATTTAGGGCAAGACTGTGGATCCATGATCTACATGTCACATAGAAATAAATTGCATCAAAAAATCGCTGTTGCAAATTTTTTTAAATTTTCCTACCAAATTTATCTAATTTTACTGTACTGAGAGAAAAATCAACCAAAAATTGGTTAATAGTACTAAATTTAAACTTGAAAAGGTCTGGTTGATATTTCCAACAATGATTTGGTAGTATTTGCCACAATTTTGTTTACATTAAGAAAACTATTGGTTGGCGGTTTTTCGTTTGAATAAGTTTATGTTCTACACTTCATAGATACTTTTTCATAATTCGGAGATGCAAAACAAAAATTTTCATTATCATTTTAACATGTTGCCTCTGACGGGATTAGCAATTAACCGCAAGCATCTCTACACACTCAGCTACACCCGCTTTATAAATGTGTCTTCAAATGTTCAACTTGAATCAATTTTCTTCGTCGGTTCATTTGATTCTGCACTTCACAGAGGCGTTTTCGTAATAAAGGAAAAACCAAAAACACAAAAAAAAAATGAAAATTATGTATCGCACTGACGGCACTCGTACTACTGGAAGCCAACAAATAACAGCAAGCACCTCTGCACGTTCAACCACTGCCATACATACGAATTTGTTCTCGAATGTCCAAATTGAATCACATTTCTTACAATCGGCTTATGGACCATGAAAGAAAAAATCAAACCATAACTTGCTTGAAAAAGCCATTGTGCTTTTGGCTCAGTGTGGGCTATGAAATTTTGGTGAAAATTTAGAGCTGCATAATATTCGAGTTTAATGGTGAGAAACATAACATTCATTCAAAATTCTAACACGGGTGTTATAAAAAATTTTAAATAAATTATAGATAAAACACACTTTGTTTAATAATCTCTTTTGGAAAAAATCTTAACCAAAACGTGCATTGGCATCCACTCCGCCTCTAAAGACACTCTTTACACACTTTTCAACTATTTAATTTATTTAAAAAAAAAAAATCACAAAATTTTACATTATTTTTGCTTTGTTTGGCCGACCCTTACACATTTTGTAGTAAATTAAAACGCAACTCGATTAAAAGAATTCCTTTTTTTTTTTTTGCCAAAAGAACTTAAATGCGCAATACTGTGGCCTAAAGCCTCCACAAGTGCACAAATGTTTGCTATTTGAAAATGCCATATTTCTTATATACACATTTATTTATAATCAATTTTATCACCTGCCAATTCAACAATATCAAAATAAATGCCAATTTAATTATTTCCTTATCTCAAGTTAATTCATAAATCATAGAGAATTTCGTTTTGCACTGCGTAGAACCGCATCCGTATCTTTCGACGACTTATTCAACACGTAAGATAACTAATAGATTCACACGCACTTTGGCTACTGAAAGGCTTTTTGACTTGATTTTGCTTTTTATCAGCCTGCAGTGGTGCAAGATCAATAGCCAAGCAATGATACCTATTTGTGCGTACGTAGTTGAGGATAGCAAACTTCTTCATACTCCCATTTGCGTATTTGTGGCGGTAGTTGTGCTTGTAGATCCACCCTGCAGGGAAATCCAGAGCTAAACTGAATTGAAACTATTCTAAAGAATCAGAAGAAAAAAACTAGAAATTTGTATGCAATTTTTTTTTAAATTTTTTTAAATTTTTTACAAAGTTTTAAGCTTTGATTTAAATGATTTTGGTTAAAGAAAGAACAATATTTTCGTAAAAAGAAATAAGATTGGCGCTAACACAATATGTATGCATGTTAGTGTTTGGCCGAGCTTCTCCTCTGATTTATGGCGTGCGCCTTGATGTTGTCAGCGGAGGGACCTACAGTTTAATGCGGACTCTTTTACGCATAGCTTATTATAAATCACGGCTATCACAGTTATGTCTTTACCCCAAATACAGTAATTTAACTTATGGTTTCAAAGTTATGCTTCCCTGAATGTACGACGTCGAAAAGAGGTACCAAGCCTCCTTCAAAAAAAACTTCCCCTTTTTAGTTCACCATAAACGCCAACTTTAGTAATGTCTCCCCACCAAATAACAATCACATGTTGCTTATGGTTCCAAAGTTAAAGCTGATTAAAAAGTTCAAGCCTATGGAATGTGCTACGACCTTTGTCTAAACTAAAACCTTCATAAACCTCTTTCTTCTGACATCGATATTGTTATACATATTTCAATAACCTGCTTCCCTTAATTCCAATTGACTTTGACTTGCCTTGCTTTGAAGCGCTTTCAAAACCATATGGATTGATACCAATATTTTAATAGTTAATTTAACTTGTTTAATAATTTCAATTTAACTTTTTAAACAGGTAACACTATAAATATTCTAAATGTTCACACTAAGGATTTCTTAACCATCTTTCGTTTGAAGCCCATATAGGTATTTTAATATTTCGATTTTTCAAACAGAAGGAAACCCTTTTCAAAATATGGCTACAAACCTTCTCGTCGCCGAGAGGAATCCTTTGACATGCGTATTTTACTATTTCATATAATTTGTGTATGATTTAATTTAATTCGACTTTTCAAACAGGTGTCAACCCTCATCAAAATGTATCTGTGAACTTTCTTCTCGACAATATGAACCGTTTGAAAATAATATTTCAATATTTCCTATAACTTGTGTACAATTTAATAAAATTCTACTTCTCAAACAGGTGGCAACCCTCTTTAAGCTATAGCTATAAATCTTCTTCACATCCATATTTTAATATTTCATATAAGGTCGGTGTTATGCAGAAATTTTGTTTGGCAAACTGCGTGCAATTGTTGTTGCAGCAAACTCGGAGAGAGCGAGTTTGGCGACTCTCACAGCAAACTAATTTTGTTTGGTCAAACTGCAGCAAATTCGGTGTTGTCATATACAAAAATTTTAAATTTTGCGCGTTATGTACATCTGAAATTCTCATTTCGTGTTGGCAATAGCCAAGAAAACCATAATGAACGTGCAACCCTGTGCCAAACTCGACATAACCACCTCCGAGCAAACTAAGCAGCCGCCATTTAATTTGGCAAACAAAAGTTTGTCTGCATAACACCGACCCATCATGTGAATAATTTAATTGAATTCGACTTTTCAAACAGGTGGCAATCCTTTTCTAAATATAGCTATGAACTATTTCCTCACTCACACGAATACGTGGGTATGCGTGTTTTCGTACGGTGTCGATGTTGAGATGTTTTTAACAAACCAATATCAATTTTTATGTACCTACGGTTTAAATTAAGCTCTGATTTCACCATTAGAACACCGATCAAGCAAGCATAAACTGAAGTAAAATTTAAGAATATAAAAAAATAGTTGAAAATCAACACCACTTTTTAGCCCGGAAAAGATGGCAATACATTATATACCCTAATGTTAAGAAAAAGTTGAATGCACTTACGAAGGAACTAAAAATATTCTAAAAGTCGACCGTAATACTCAAATAAATAATTACCCTAACAGTATTGAGGCAACTTCGACCACTGACTACCCTCCCTGGAGGACAACAAGTAATATAAAAAAGCCAACCCAATCACAACCCTTTTTAAGAATAGAAAGTAAGGAATCGGCTTAAAGTGAGTTAGGAAAAGCCAAAATTTTTACCCGCTATTTAAAATCTCCGCTATTTAAAATCTGTTTTCACCCTACAAAGTACAGATTCCTCTATCAGTACAACAGAAAAGGTCAGTGCTATTCTAAGCGACGATTATCGAATGGACTCACCCATAGAGAAGTTCTCTAACGCAGAAATAAAAACAGCGATTGAAAATTCAAAACTAAAAAAAAAGCTCCTGGCTATGATCTCACTGCGGGCCATTTGTTAAAACCATGGCTTCGGAGCAAAGGTTTTTTTTATCGCTCTGCTCTAGCTCCGCTCCGGTATTTTATTACGCTCCGAGCTCCGCTCCCACTCCCAATAAAGAATTCTTTTTATTTATTTAATTACTATGTACCAATGGAGCCCTAATCACCAAAAAATTAGTTGCATCTTCATTCTTTTAAAAAATTAGGAAGCGCCTGACGGGATTCGAACTCTGAAAGCTAACAACTACTAGCGCGTTCAGCCGCTGCCGACTACGTATACATGCTTTCAAATGTTTAGCTTAAACAAATAAAATACAATTACAATTATTAGAAATTTACGTTCCTCTGCTGGCTGAGAAATCACTAGGGCTGTTCAGGAAGTTTGTAAATTTGTTGCTTGCTTCCATGGCAACGGTGTGCATTTTATTGTTGTGAATTTACAAATGCATCGAATATGCAAATGCAAGAGCATATGCACAAGATCCTGAACATCCCTTTTTTTGATCGCCATTCAAATTGACGTGGATATTATCCCTGACTGCTGGGCATTGTGCAATGAATAGTATTGCCAAGTAAATGTAGAATGACTATTCATTTAACACGGTTTGTTTTCAGCTGCAAAAAAAGTAAGTTTAATTTTCTTTATGTAGCTAAGGGGCAAATGAATTTTTTAGCTCTTTGCTCCTGCTTCGCTCCAGCCAAAATCTTCCTTTGCTCCGCTCCGCTCCGAAGCCCTGGTGAAAACAACTACCCGAGGCAGGCATTGCGCTGTTGACTCAGGGGCTTTCTCTCTGCCTAGTGGAAAGTATCACAGGTGCAAATGATTGTAAATCTCGTAAGGCATGCTGAGAAAGTTGAATCATACCGACCCATTAGCCTTTTAGCTATTATGTCCAAAATTGTGCAAGCCCCTTCCACTTCCCATACTACACTTACTCTTTTCTACTCTATTGAATGGCAGCAGCACTGAAAGTAGTGGAGAACACGAACGCGAGTTCCTGTCGATGTCCCACCGCCTAACTATGACGAGGTACGAATAGCGATTATGCGGCTGAAAAGCAACGAAGCTGGAAAATCCCCCATGAACCAGATATTCAAAATACGTGTAACAAGCAACATGCCCTGGTTGCTTCAACGGTTGCCTCGTGTGTAGTCAGCATTATGGAGATTATATATGTATGATGTATGAATGTGAATAGATATGTCTTATTTTTACCACTAATGTAGCGAAGCAATTTAAATCTCTGATCATTTGAGAGAAAAACGTATGTCTATATTTCACAGCCAATAAAGATAGCATAAGTCGACAAAGCTTTTTTACTGTCAGAACAATAAACTGTACTTGAAATAAAACACTTAATTGCCAAAACAGAAACAGTCTAATAAGGTTGTGAACGACGATAAAATAATTTAGTCTTTCTTTCGAATTACAACATTTTTCTCTTTGAAGGTAAGCTATGTTTTGTCGACATATGCTACTTTGTTTGGCCGTAAAAGATAGACTTAAGTTATTCTTTCAAATGTTCTCTAGTTTGCCTGTTTGTATGCATATCTACCCGCTGGTGGTAGCAGAGCAAGAGGCGAGAGCCTACACTGCGATGGAAAGAACAAGTAGAGAAGGACTTGGCTTCACGTGGCATTTAAAATTGGCTTCAGTTAACATAGACGAGAAACGACTGGTATGCTTTGTTGAGCTTGGCCGAAATTGCCTAGGCGTTTACAGTGCCAAACTAAAAGAAGAAGAAGAAGCAGAAGAAGAGGAAGGCATACTTAAGTTTTAACTCCAAATTATACGTATGCACAGACTAGAAATGCAAGCCACATACTTATGTTTTCGTGCTGCCATATACACAGGTATCAGTGATGGTAAATAAAAATTTAAAATTTTCCGAAAAAAATGTGCCGAAATGCAGGTCAATGTGCCAATTATCATTTCATTTATAAAATATATTTACAGTACTTATTGCATATAAGGAAAATAGAAACGGAAAACCTTTCTTATACGCATTCTTTATTTTATGAAGAGTACGCTTAATAGAAATATCATTTTTTACATACTCTATATTTTATTAAAATGTATTTAGTTACAGACTAGTGTTCCATATACCTATCTTAACTGAAGTAAATGAAACAATATTTAGTAAGTATTTCATTGCAATGAATTATCACAACAATGATTGCGAAAATACATATGTATAACTTTACAAAAAAGGGCAACAAAGGCACTACATTTTGACAAGTTTTGACAACTTAATGACTTTTTGTGTAATTTTAGTTGTTTTTTTTTAATAAAAATATAGTCAACTCAAAAACAAAAACTATGAAATTATCTATGTTTATATCATTTATCAGTTTAAATACAAACGATAAATAGTACCTTAAAATTATCCGGATCCGAAAGAAATATCGATTAATTGCATTGAGTTACGCAAAAATACGAAAATGGCACAATGCACACTCATTTTCCATCACTGATAGGCATGTAATTATCCATTCATACATACATACACATGTATGTATTCAACTCATGCAATCGTATACTTATGCAAACTATGGAGTTCCTTCCAGCTAC